GCCAGGGAAGCAGGGGAGAAAGTGGAGGCAGGGAAGGAGGGAGGCAAGGAGGGACGGGATGTATGCACAAAGGTGGCCAGCGAGGGACGTATGAAGCGCGGTCAGTAAGATAGGTGGGGGCGGGGCAGATGGAGGGGGAGTGGGAAGGGGAGAGAGAAAGGGGGAGAGAGGCAGGGGAGAGATAGAAATAAGGCGATCCAATTGGGGAGGGGTGTGATGATGCCGATACGCGTCGTGCCACAGTTCTTTGACGGAGGGGGTGGGGAAGATAATCGGAGCAGAAAGCTCCTCCTCCACCTCGTATCCTCTGCTTCTCATTCTTCTTCTCCTCCTCCTCCTCCGCTTTCTCCTTCACCTCCTCCGCCCCCTCCTCCTCCTCCTCCTCCTCCTCCTCCACCTCCTCCTCCCCCTCCTCCCCCTCCTCCTCCCCTCCTCCTCCTCCTCCTCCCTCCTCCTCCCTCCTCCTCCTCCTTCCCTCCTCCCTCCTCCCTCTCCTCCTCCTCCTCCTCCTCCTCCTCTCCTCCTCCTCCTCCTACTCCTCCTCCTCCTCCTCCTCCTCCTCCTCTCCCCCTCCTCCTCCCCCCCCCTCCCTCCTCCCCCTCCTCCTCCTCTCCTCCTCCTCCTTCTCCTCCTCCTCCTCCTCCTCCTCCCTCCCTCCTCCTCCACCTTCCACTCTTCCTTCAATCTGAGTTCCAAGCCTTCTGTCTCATTCTATTTGTCATCGTCCTCCACATTCCTCCCTCCTCCCTTCCTCGCCCCCCTCTCCCACCCTCGTCCCTCTCTTCCTCCCTCCTGCGTCGCTTTGTCCGCGCCCGCCTGATCCTCCTCCTCAGCCATCTCCTCCTCCTGCTCCTTTCGGTTCTGCTCCCACACCTCATCCTCATCCTCATCCTCATCATCATCACCATCATGACCACCATCAGCATCATCACCATCACCATCACCACCATTACCATCATCATCATCATCATCATCATCATCATCATCATCACCACCATCAGCATCATCATCAGCATCAGCATCAGCATCATCATCATCATCACCATCACCATCACCATCACCATCACTATCACCATCACCATCACCATCACCATCACCATCACCATCACCATCACCATCACCATCATCATCATCATCATCATCATCATCATCATCATCATCATCATCATCATCATCATCATCATCATCATCATCATATGCATCCTCCTCATCCTCATCCTCATCCTCATCCTCATCCTCCTCCTCATCACCATCACCATCATCACCACCATCAGCATCATCACCATCACCATCACCACCATTACCATCATGATCATCATCATCATCATCATCATCATCATCATCATCATCATCATCACCATCATCATTTTCATCACCAGCATCATCATCATCATTATCGTCACCATCACCATCACCATCATCACCATCATCACCATCATCACCATCATCATCATCGTCGTCATCATCCCTCCCCCTTTCTGTCCCTCCTCCCCGATGCTCCACCTCTGCCTCTCATCCTCCTCCCCTCCTCCTTCCCCCTTTCTCCTCATCTTCCTATGGCAGTGGCGAAGATGATGACAATGATGACGAACGGCGCCGACGACGACAACCATGGCGGAGGCGGAAGCGACGACCAGACCCAGAGAGCGCAGGCCCGCAAAAACGGCGGCCACAACACGCCGAGCATCGAAGAATGGACGACTCGCCCCTCGACCCAGCAGGGCGGGCGTTCGGTATCAACCTCCGAGTCTCTACACGCAAGAGTGACCTGGGCACGAGCGAAAGCGACGCAGGCGGGAGGAAGAGAGGGATGTGGGAGGGAGGGAGGGAGGACTTCGCCCGCCTGATCCTTCTCCTCAGCCACCTCCTCCTCCTGCACCGCCTCCCTTCGCGAGGTTCTACATGCAAGAGTGATCCAGGCAAGAGTGACCCACGGGGAGGCCAACTCCAAGTTCGCCAGCCATTGCCAGCGGAGCAGGGTTGTCTTCGCGATCTCGCGCTGTCCTCCTTTGATGCTTCTGAGGAAGACCACCCTTCCAGCACAAACCGCGGAGCGGGGCATCCTCGCGCAGCCCCGCGGGTGACCCGGGTACGCGGCAGTCCGAAGCACAAGATTGGGCCAGTGAAGATCGGGGGCAAGCGGAACGAACGCATATCTGGGCCCCCCCGGTCCGACATATTCTCGAACCCCACCCCTGGACCACTCCTGGGGTCTATTCTGGCCTCGTTGCCCCCCGCCCCCTGCCCCCACCCCTGCCCGAAAATCGACGTCAAACAGCGAGGATGGGAAAGCAGAAGAGGACCGCCTGCCTGCCCGAGGGGCTCCCGCGCGGCAGCTCGAGCCTCACTCGGGCGGCAGTTCGGGACGATCTGGGCGGCCCCGGACGGCCCTCGATGGACAACCCGGTCCGCAGACTCCCGCTTTCCCTTGAAGATCTTCGCCAGCGAGGGCTCCAAACAGTGAGTCATTGCATAGTGGAGGTGGAAGCTATGCGAAGTAAGCTGTGTAGCGTGGGCAGTGCTGTGCAAGCTGTGCGGAGTACGTTGCGTGGTGTGACCTAGTGTAACAAAGATGCGGAGCGTTTCGCGTAGAATTCTCGTGATGTGTGCGGCGAACATGAAAGAACAGAAACGAAGAGCAACAGCTGAACCGCAAATCAAGGTCCGCAACACGCGATGGACTGTCTAGCACAACACATGAAGCCTGTTGAGGCAGGTCGAACACACGTTCGGTTGTACCTGCGCCACATGCTATCTTGATCTGCTACTCCACATTGCCTTGGTTGGTAAACTCCATCCTCGTCGTAACGCCCACATTCGAAAGATCTTTTCAATGTGATCGGAGGCGTCACCAACATGCTGTCAAAGGCTGCGAAAGTTCCGACGTCCAGATAGTCATGATTTGCTGCGATGATATCACCGAAGGCTGCACTGTGCATCATGTAGAACGAAGCATCATGAACGTCGCTGCAGCCGCGAGGTAATATACACAAATCTGGTGATATGCTGTGACAAACGCAACCTTGTTTTCTACACTTCCCGTTCTCTCCAGAAAGATCCCATGGTAGCGAGGTGAGCCGGACTAATTGCTTAGGTTTCTTTGCTAAGCGCACCTGTATTTGCCTTGCCAATTCAATAAAATCTGGCAACTGTTTGTACATCGGGTTGATAATCAGATCTCCCTCGATAACTGTTATATTTGATAGCTTCTTGCTCGCTGCATGAACCACAACAGCTTTGTGAGCGAAGCCAGCTTTTCTGGAATTGACAGATGTTGACTGCAAGCATTGATCACTGGCCTTGCCATCAACCAGAATAATGTTGTGCAAACCCTGGGGCACTCTCAACGCATTGCACTTGGTACACAGAACGTAAATCATGTCAGTAACTGGAGCGATGCCGGACAACATCTGTGACATATGCGTTTTCCGATGTGAGTCATACTTTTGCATCTGCGTTTCGGAAGTCTCCTGCAACAAATCAGCCTGGGATGGACTGGACATCGCAAATTCTGCCACGCACTCAAATTCATGCTTCGAGAATGAAAGCCCTCGATCGACTTCGTCTCGGATGTCTGAAGCTTTATCCGACTCGCAATTTTGGTAGTAAGATGAGCTCAAATATCCCCCCATATCCCAATAGAACGATTGATCATCGTAGCAATCCCCTGGATCCACTTTTCGCTGCAAATGAAGAGCGCTACCTCCAGTGAGAACCGACAGTAAAATCCGCCGAGCCCCGCTTACCAGGGGGGGAAAGGGGTGTGAGACATTTGGCTCTTCGCCTCCCCCCGTCCCCCTCCCCCCCAGGGTCCAACATACTGCAGGCACATACGAAACACACTCCCACTGCCAAATATTCTGGGGCCACGCCGTTCGTCGATCTGTGAAGCTCCTGCGCAAACCTGCGCCCGAGCTCCTGCGGGTCTCTGGGGCCCTCGGGTGATTCGACGTTTCTGTTGGGCACCCGCTGACAAGCCAATTTCTTATCCGGTGCGCATTCTGTACAGGCTGGGAGGCGCGCGAAGCCCTCGGCCCACCTCCCGAGCTCTCGAGCACCTCTTGTGAGCCGCCAGGCTCCCGGCTGAGCCACGATTGCTCCTTCATGGCTGCAAGAGCTGCCCAAGATTGCTCCAGCGAGGTTCTCAGACGCCCAACGATAACTCCAACGATAACTCCCAACGATAACTCCAACGATAACTCCAACGATAAATCCCAACGATAAATCCAACGATAACTCCCAACGAGAGTAGCCCCGAAAGACGCCCAACGATGACTCCAGCGAGGTTCTCAGACGGCGATGACAATGCAACAAAGACACTCATGACATACCCTGGCGAAGGATCCAGCCGTATGCAAGTGTGAGTACCGAGAGGCAGGTGGGGCGAAGAAGGGAGAGCGCGCCGTGGGGCCACGAGGCGTGTGACGGGTGCGCCGAAGTGGGCGGGGGAACGCATGCGAACCCTGTCACAAGAACCTTCGGTGGAGCTTCCTGTGGGGCCACGAAGCGTGTGAGCGGTGTGCCGAAATGGGCGTGGGGACGCATGCGAGTCCTGCCACAGAAGCCTTCGGTGGAGCTCCCTGTGGGGCCACGAGGCGTGTAAAGGGTGCGCTCGAATGGGCGGGAGGACGCATGCGAATCATGCCACATGAGCCTTCGGTGGAGCTCACCGTGGGGCCACGAAACGTGCGATGGTGTAGCGAAGTGGTCGGGGGGAAGCATGCGAACCCTGCCACACAAGCCTTCGGTGGAACACCCTGTCGGGCCACAGACCGTGTGAGGGGTGTGCCGGAATGGGCGGGGGGACGCATGCGAAGCCTGCCACAGGAGCCTTCGGAGGATCTCCCCATGGGGCCACAGCATTCCCAACCATCCCGTGGTGTCCTCGTTTTGAAGGAGACGGTCCCCGCGATCCTCTCCTCTCCTCTCCTCCTCCTCCTCCCCTCCTCCTCCCTCCTCCCATGATGATGATGATGACGATGACGATGATGATGATGATG